GAAAGTCCGGTGGCGCATCCATATAGATAATCTTGTCCAGATCACCGTGAAGAAACGCATTATTCACATCTAATTGATGAAGAGGCCAACAGTACTCTGTAGCCAGAGAAATAATCAATCGAACAATAGTCAATTTTGCCACGGGGACAAATGTAGCACCAAAATCACGACCTAGTACCTGAGTAAAACCGTTCGCCACAAGTCTAGCCTTGTGACGATTAATAGTATCATCCGCAAGAAACTTCAGGGTGTAAATCCAGCAACAGCCAGCAGACTTCACCCCTGAAAGTAAGGAGACAAGATCCCATGTATGATTACGCTGAAGAGCGTCCATCTCTGTCTGCATGGCAAGAACCCATTGGGGCTCCCGCATAGCCTTCAAAATAGAACGAGGAACTGGAGTATCTGATAAGACCATAGTATAAGCTTGAAATGTGGGAGACAGATCACCATAAGAAACATAAGCAGAGATCAGATATAAAATTCTGGTGGTTCAACCATAACGATCAACTGGACGGCGATCACGTCGCGGATAACGACGCCCTAAATCATACTCCTCCACTGATAATGTCTCATCAGATAAATGAACTGGCTCAGTACCTGTAATCTCATCAGTACTAACAATAGGTGCATCAATATGCTCAACAAACTGATAAGTATTACCTGCATCGCCTGAGGTAGAAGGGACATTAATAGGGTGATGAGAGCGAGGGCGACGAACATATACCTGCAAAGGAAGAGAGACTGGTAACTCTGTACTGACAGAGATGAGTGGCTCTGAATGAGGAGAAACAGATAACCCTGTAGGGATAATGACCAATGACTTTGACTCCTGTGGTAATAGAAAATCAAAGAGAGTATCATCAACTAGAGGGGCAGACACAGGACTGGGAGGAAAATAAGAAATATGCTCAAGAAAGGTAACATCTAGACTGTGATACATATGACTCCTGATAGGATCATAACACCGATACCCCTTAGATTGATGACAATAGCCCACAAAGATACAACGAATCGCTTTATCATCAAGTTTATGACGAGTAGGAGACCGATCCTGAACAAAACATGTGCATCCAAAAATACGAGGGAGGACCGAAAAAAGTGTCCGCTCAGGAAATAAGACCTGTAAGGGAGCCTTATGCCGAATATCAAACTCCTATTTTTCCTTTCAGCAATACCATTTTGCTCAGGAGTATATGGACAAGTGAGTTGTTGAAGAATACCCTGAGAAGAAAGGTGAGACACTAAGGCATCAGACACATATTCTTTGGCATTATCCGAACGAAGAGCACGAACAATGACATCAAATTGTGTCTTAATCATTTGTAAAAACTGAGTAATTATAGGAAGTACATTAGACTTTCTATGCAAAAGATAGACCCAAGTACAACGGGTATGATCATCTATAAATGTCACATAATATTGGGCTCCTGACAAAGCAGTAACGGGAGAGGGTCCCCAAATATCAGAGTGTATTAGGTCAAATGGCTTAGGTGACTGGTGCATGCGAGGAATATAACTGGCCCTAACATGTTTCGATAGGGAACATATAACACAGTCAAGTTTACCACCAACACAAGCATTGCTCAAAGCAGGAAACAATATACATAAATAGTTAAAATTTGTATGTCCAAAACGGTCATGCCACAACTGAACAGTTTGTGACGAAAAATCATAACGATAACTATTAGGTAAAATACTAACATGCAAGCTAGGAACAGAAAAAGACAAAACAGGTGCAGGTGATGTAGGTGGAGGAATTGGTGAAACTGGAGGTGGATTGCCAAGATAATACAGTCCATCTTTCTCATGTCCCATGATAATAATCCTCCTGGTACTCAGGTCCTGCAAATAACACGAATCAGATAAGAATACAACTGCACAGTGAAAATCTCTGGCTAACTGATGTAAAAGCAGTGGACTGGTTTGATGTGTTGGCTATATTGGCTGGTCTGGTTTGTCGTGTTTATTAGGCAATATGTTCTGGTAGTTATGTTGCAGTCGGTGTAGATGTTGAGGTAGTCGATTTCAGTGTGGTGGTTGGTGGCTGCAACGTGGAGGAGAGGTTAGGGTTAGTGTTAAGGTTGTGGCTTTGATACCAACTTGGAATGAATGAATGTGTGTGAAAAAAAAAAGGATACAAACTAAGTGTAGAACCCTATATATATATAGTCAATGAGAGTTACTATAAGGACAAAAAGGTAAAAAAGAAAAATTTAATAAGACCCTAATAAACTAGGCTGCTGCTATATCTCCAATAGAGACATTCTTACTTCTATTGTCAATAACAGCAATCTAATTCTCTTTATACTTATTGTCCTTGTTAAAAAAAAAAAAATTTACTGTATAATTTTCACCAGACCTGGAGATTGCAGTCGAAAAGTGAAGTGTGAATAGTTTATCCGAAAAATTTTGATTCATCATAGTCGGAGGGGACCCGGACCAAGAAGAACAAGAAATTTCAGGCTCGAGTTCTATCATCCTATTATCTGGAATTCTTAATAAGATTTCGAGTTACATCTAGTCTCTTCTACATCTGATTTTGACCTTGGATGATGGGGTCAGAAGATTTTGAGGATGAGCGTCACCGATTCTCCCCCACCCGGCCCCCCAAAACTAGGAAACACGATAACTTCAAAAATCAGTTATACTTAATTTCATTAAGTTAGAGAAAATGATAGAAAGATTAATCTAATCAGTAAAAAATCATATTAACAAGCATGTCTGCAATGCATTCGGCATTCCTCCAATCCCGCTTGCATTAAATTTTTAAAAGAAAATATCATAAATTTCTAATTTAATTTTTTATTTTTTAAATTAGGGGGACAATAGCCATAAAAGTAAAAGGAATTGGGACATAAAGAGGAAAAATAAAAACTATATGTAGAGAAGTGCAAAATAAAGTAAAACAGGGGTTGTGAGAGAAAACATATAATTGGAAAAAATCGACCTAGTACACTAGACAGGGGCATCCTAGGCAAAAACCACTTTACACGCAAGGGTAGTTTAGGTACCAAATTTGCCTTATGTACGTAGTGAGGCCAAAACTTATGTGTTTCTTCGTCATCTATTCTATTCCCTGCCATCAGGGCCTGGGCTGGGAGGAAGAAGAACAAGAAGATTAGAAAGTAAGAGAGAGGAAGCAAATCTACGATCATCTTGCGGAGACCGCAGATCGGTCGGTCATCGTTCAACGGTCGAGTTCACAGACCGGCTTGTTGTTTTCGTCGATATTCGTTGAAAAAGTGAAGGAGGAGGAGAAGAACCGAATCGAAGAATTTCGTGTTTTTTTTTTGTGGCGGAATTCGAAGACCTTGGTTGAAGATTTGCGTTGCTTTAATCGTTGGAGTTTCGTCGGATCATCAAGCAATTGTTTTCGATTTTAATTGACCAAAAGATCAGGTATTGATCCTAGTTTTTTGATTTATTGCACTTTTTTATTGGTTGTTTTTCTTCGATCAGCAACTGAAACAGTGATGTAGGCAAGAACGTTTTAATCGTCTCTAGATTTGCCAGATCTTCGGCTCAGAAGACGTACATATATGTATATAGAGCTTTTGGGTGCGAACATCGGACGGTGATATACACGAGCCGCATCAATGGGTCCGGGAGATGAATGAGACGATTTGTTGTAGATTCATCCAGGATTTAGCTAGTCTTCACTGTGCCAAGCTTGAGAAGCGAAATCTGAATGGCAGTCACTGTCGATGTTTGATTCCTCATGTAGGTTCTTGTTTAGATTCTCAGCTTCGCTTGCGATTTAGAGGATCTGCTGTTACTCGGATGAATAAAAATCTTCGTCCCGGACAGGAACGCTGGGAGCTAATTAGGTGTTCCCCATACAATTGATTTGGGAAAAATTTACTACGTAACATATAGAATTGGACTCTGCGGATGCGTTTCCCCGGAAGATACCACTAAAGGCAACAAATAAAAATAGTTAGAATTTTCATTGGAGTGCGGCACTGAAAGGACAAGAAAAGAGTAAGTCATCATGCGAAGCTTGCTGGTGGATCTCTCAGAATTGTTAGTAAAACGGACGGATATGTTCACTCTTATGTAACCAAAGGTTACGGCTGATACTTGGTAATTCAGAAGCCTTTCAGCCTTGTTCTTGCACAGATTTTCAAATATGAATGTTAACTTTGCAGAAAAGAGGATCTTTGCTTAGTTCGTTCTTCTTCGTGTTTGGGATCATATACGAGAAGCAGGGTCTTTTGGAATTCGTAGTTGAAGAAAGGAGAGTACAAAATGATAGCCTTATATTTATCACCTTCCTTGTAGACTCACCACAATGGAGGTTGTTATCAGCCTTGTTCAAAAGTTGCTTACCGTATATTACAACAGTTCAGTGGTGTATCTTGAAGGTTGGAATCGTAGATTAGCTTGACATGGTTTCCTCCTTTGAGCATGTTGGTTGGCGCAAGTCAGTCAGCCATTCACTGGCTTAAAATGGCTTATTTCGATATTCAATGCGTTCTCTATTGAAGTTACATTAAAAATGAGAATATTCTCACATTTCATTATTATTGTGTAGTTAAAGTTTCCCTATTTTGGGTGTTTAGTTTTTGTACAGTTATTGAAATTATGTTTTATATGTTTTTCTTGTTACCGTTACTTAAATGAGATCTTTCTTGGCCGTTATTTTTCTGGTTGAAAGAAGTCCTGATTCGAATATTGGGAATCAATCGTCCCAAGCTAAAATGTGAATTGATCCAGTTTTTGTATGCCTCACATTTGTTAACACTGTCTGCCCAATGTAATTGCTCCTACTGAGTCATATGCTGGCAGTCATAGCTTTTGGACTTGATTTTTTATGTTTGTGTTTGTGCTCTTATTAGTTTTGTTGCTGTTCTAATTGCTTAGTATTGTTACTGATCATGTGTCGTACATCTTACAGTTGACTTAAAACACAGACACTTTAGAATTCTGCTCTGGTATCTAGAAAGGAATTTGTTCTACCAATCATTTATATGGGGACTGATGTTGGGTTTAACCCAATGGTGAGTTTCTAGAAGTTCTTATTGTCCTCTTGATCTACTGATCTTTGAGTTTTAGGTTTTTCTTTAGGGCCTTTTTACTATCTTCTAGTAGTGCCAATCCCCTGTAGTTTGTGGTCATATGGTTGAATGTGTGGCATGTAACACAGTGAACCTTTTTGAACTGGACATAGCTAGGTAACTTAAATCTTGAAAATTGTGATGATATTTAGGTTTAAGTCAATTACCAATATTCGGAAAAAAGATGTAAAGTCAAGGTCTTTGGAAAATTGCAAATACGAAATTCCAGGAAGAATACAGGGTGATACAAATATTGCAAACACGAAATTCAAGGAACAGGAGAAGCCCCACTATTACGGGGAGGCCAGCCAGGCTGTGGGACTAAATGGGGTCTACCTGGTTTAGTCCTAAAAAATGCTGGGATGTAGTTTCAAGTGTGATGGTAACCACATTGTGTGAATAATGCGAAATACTCGGTCAGTATATAGTCTATCCCTCCCAACATCCTCGGTTAACAGGGATCAAATTGTGTAGTGACCACTAGTAGTTTGTGGAAAATAACTAGATTTTACTTAAAGATTGTTTTGAATTGGTAAGAGTCACAAGACATGAAACACCAATGACATAATATGTAGGGTACGGATGAGGTGAGGACTTGCCTAAAAGTAAAACCAAAATGAGGGTCTGAAGTTGTTATTTAAGTAAGTGGACATAATTTATTATAGCAGTTACTGGGCATCTGCTGGATTTGGTTTGTTTCTAAGAGGAGCAGTGTTTTGTTTACTTGCAGACTCGCTTGTGTACTTGCACTGGGAGGCTAGCCTCTAAATTTGGATTGACCAGAAAAGGAAACCAACTACCAAAGCCACCGTGCAAGACTTGTGGTGGCAGACCATTTGTACATCGGAGAGGACCTGTATCAGCAAGTATGCTCAGCACAGTGGGCCTGGAACTTAAAAATTTTATCGATCCTGACTTAAGTTGGAAGACGTTGACAAAAGGTAGGCGCTCTAGGAAACCAGCAGCAGGTAGAAGCTTCAATGTTGGTGCAAAACTGGGCAACAAGAGTGCTAAAAGGGTGTGGGGATCTTCAGTTTCTGAATCTGAGAAGGTATGCTTTTTTCAGATGAATTCTATTGCTAAAAGTACATTGATTCTGATGTATCGTTTGCTTGTATTTGTTTGTTTGGCAGCTTTGTGTGGCTGTTCTTGGGCAACACTTTTCTGACAAAGCAGAGCATGTGCGAATCAACAAAAGGAGACGTTTGATTCGATCCCAATCATCACTACCTCGGACCCCTTCTCAACACCATGAAGAATCACTATCACGCCAAGCCCAGACCTCTTCTCCACATTCTGAACTGATTGTAGAAGTTGATGGCAGAGTTATGGATGACAATGGCTCTGAAGTGACAAAAGGAAAGCTTTGTTACACTGGGGACTTTTCAGGTATAGCACTTCTTGCAGCTGCTGCCTGCATTAGTAGCATTGGTGATGAAGCTGATAATGGTAAAGAGGATCTTGTAGAAGAAGAATTTTCAACACCGCAAGTTTTTGACTCCTTTACTTCCACTATACCATTGGAAGAACCTACCGCATTAACGGCATCAGGAAATCAATTTCGAAAAGATTTGGTACATGAAGATTATGTGGATGCTTCATTTGTTCAGGACAATTCTGTGGATTTTCAAACAATAGTTTCAGGTGTAAATGAGGATGGTATGCAGAGAGAAAAGTTGGAGAAATCGGGAAGTTGTGAAGCACGGAGGGATTCTGAAGTTATTGAAGAAAGTGATGTCCAGGCTCCTGTGTGCAGAATTGTTTCAGCTGATGTACATGAAGAATATGCAATTCTAGACCAGAAAGGCGCAGCTACTGGGCCTTCCAAATCGAGCACAGAGGAACGTTCATCAGAAGCATGCTATGGTCATGATAGAATTTACATTGATGAAAAATATATTTGTACTTCAACTGGATGTGCTCTGGAACCCTTGAGCTGTAATAGTTCGGAGACAAAAGCTTATAGTCATGTTGTTAGCATAGATGCATCCCTTTATAGTTCTCCTTGCCATGTATCACATAATATTTCTGACACGTGTGTTTTCGAGGAGAAGATGGATACAGCTTCTGCTAACATTTCCGTCATTCAGAACAGTGATGATTGTTGCAGAACTTCTACATCTCGACTTGGCAGAATTACGTCCTCAGAAAGTATTCAGCTTAGGAAACAGGATGTTACTGTCGCTGACGTGCCAGACTCAGAGAAGACCATTTGTGAGTACATCGTTCCAAGCAAAGGCCATGAAGATTTTGGAAAAACCTATAGCTTTCCTGATGTGATTAGCACAGCTGTTTTTAAACCGGTAGACTTTGACAGTTTTGCATGTAATTCAGATAAGGTGGATCCTTCCCTGCCTTCACCTGAGTGTGAAGATTTATCTGCTTCAGCCACCTCTGGTGTTGGAGAAAGAGAAGGTCAACCCATTGTAATTAGTGATGCAAAGGGCGAGAATGGCAGAATTGCTGCTGGTGTTGATTTTCTAGAGCACATGGAGCCTAAGGAACTCATGTCCCAGTGTTCTGACCATCCTGTTTCTAATAGAGGGGCACATGGTGGATTCATTTCACTGGAGTCCTGCAAAAGTAATATTGATGATCCTACTCATGGCTCTGGTGAGAGTGCAGAAAATGTGACTCAGCTTCCGGCAGGTTATGATTCTCCATTCGAGGATGGGGAATTGAGGGAGTCGGTTTTATATTCCTGGGAGGACGAAACTGAATGTGTAGACTATGAATCCGATAACAGAGGAGGAGATGAGTTTGATGAATCTGATAACGCTACTCCAGAGAAAGTTGAAGTTGGTGATGAGGGTTCCCAAATCGTGGAGAAAGGAACTTCATTTGGGACAGAAGTTATGGAAGCAGATTTCAGTAAGAGCGAGTCGATGAAAACTTCAAATATACAATTGATGAGTTATTTTACTATAGATGATATTAAAGAGACAGAGATGGTTGGAAAGGAAGGATTGAGTGCAGGATCAAGTATCCCTATGGAGCAATCTGCAAACATGTTTGTGCAAGTAAATGATGGTGGTGCAAGAAAAAGTCAATCGTCTGATCACATGGATGGCCTAGATGTCAAATGGCTAGACATAAGCAAGGTCCGGTCAAGGACATCATGTGGGAAGAAGTTGTCACGTGTTCAAGGACCATCAATTGTAGATATCTCTCATAGGAAGGATACTGTGCGTATACAGCATGGCAGGTAGTTCTTTGTAGACATTTTTTCAATTTTTTCCAGATGTTTTGTTTTATTATTTCCTTGCAATGCCTTCATTTTTCTTCTCTTTCTAACAATTGGTTGCTATTTGCTTTTGTTAGATCCCACTATCTTGGTGGTTCATATTCTCGAGCTGAGAATGATTTTGATTCTGTTAAACCCATGAGAAAGGATAGATCTTCGTTGCATGAACATGAAAGAGATGAAGAGGAGGATTACTGGATTGATTCTTCTGTGGACTATTGGGATTCAAGAAATTCAAGAAGCCGTCATCCACCTAGTCATCGTGATAGCTACACCAAGCCTAGTGTAACCAATGATTCTGCTGCCAATGTTGGTGGATTAAACTGCTGTGACCACAGAAAGATTTTAAGTTTTTCCTCAAGAGGCATGTATAGGTCACCCATTAGGAGGAGATTGCCAGTTGACAGGGAGGATGATTTTGTTGTTCATAGGGACAGGAGCAGGGGCAGGTCTGAAAAATATCCGCAAGGGTTACGTAGATGCCCCAGAGAGGGATACCATGATCATGTGCCCGATGATGGCACTGCATTGTCTGTTCACATGCCATATCATTCGGCCAGGAGAGACCGAAGTTTTTCTCCAACATTTAGTAGAGGTGGTCATATTTCTCGACCCTTCAGGAAACCTCGCTCGAAATCCAGAACACGCTCTCCCCCTGCCTGGCATTTGCAGAGAGAGCGAAATCTGGGTACAAGACGTTACAGTAGGTCTCCAGACATCTGGTCTGACAACAGAATGCAGAGGACGAGTAGGTCTCCAGATTTCAGGTCTGACGGCAGAATGCAGAGGACCAGGTTTATTTCTGAGAATCCCAGGATTGCAATTGATTATGAAGGTAGTTTCGTGTCGCCACCTGGAAGCCGCTTCTCCCCAAGGTGTGATTCTAGACGGTTTGATGACCAGAATTCTGGTGAAGGGCATTTAAGAGAGTGGAGGTCACCTGTAAGAAACTTTAGGCAGAGCCAAAGGTTTCATTCTGTTAACTCTTCTGGAAGATTGAAGCCAGATGGTTACTTGAGACCCACGGTACGTCCTCGTAGATTTCCTCCAGTGGCAGGAACTAGTGTGGGATGCAAGTATGAGAACATGGACGATTATAGGAGACATGATAACAGAGGCGATACAATTCATTGGGTCAAGCGAAATGGCACTGGTGGTGCAAGGCGGTTTCTGTATGACGGGGAAGATTGTTTCGAGGGATGTAACTCTCATTATAAGGATGACTGCACTAGTAGTGACCGAAGGGATTTACCTAGGAGTGTCGGGGAACATAGAAGTTCTTTTAGGTATAACAACAATAGGATATAAAATACTGCTTGGGGGTGGATTTGGAAGATTGGAGTTGGTAAGAGATTATACCTTGGTTGACCATTTTATTTTCTTCTTTATTGTTGGCGTAGTAGTCTTTTAGGTTTAATTATGCCTTGATATGAGCTAGGTTGCTAGTGGAAAAATACTGACTATTCTATTGTCATTGTCAAGTCTATTAATTTACCTGATCTCTCTCTCTCTCTCTCTCTCTCATGCGCGTGTATTTCGATCATCTAAAAAATGGAATCGCTTCGACCTGTTTTGAAAACAAATAAAAAATTTAAAAATTATTTTTTTAAAACATTAGTCGATTATACTAAATCATGTTAAAATATTTCAAAACAATCGTATAAATGCATGGAAATATTACTAACTATTTTAAAATATTATGAAATACCTTGAAGTATAGAATTTTAATTTCATCATTGATTTATTTTAATTTTCTTGAAAAATAGAGATGTTTCAACTGTTTCAATAATTTCGAAACGAAATTTTACTCATTCTCTCACAAGTTGAGTCACTTTTCAAAAGGGTTGTTTTAGGGAGAACATGGGATGTTAACAGATCTCTTAGTTGACCTAACCCAACTCGATATTGTGGAGTTGCTTCTTGTATAGACTAACGTACAGTATTTAGAATTGTGAACCCCTCTTGAAGAGAGAGGATTGTCATTTGTCAGATATTTAAAAATGAAGATGATCTAGTTGCTATGTCATAGGATGTTGCTTGTGCAGTTGCTTCGATTCCTCTCCGTAACTACTAGGTAACCCCATCCATAAGAAACCTGTTTTTAATGTTTCTAATTTATCAATCTCTAGGTTGACTTGCAATAAATTTAGTAATAGATCATGTGTTTCAATGCTGATGTATAGATAAATAGAGGAATTCCTTCAGAAGGCGTAATTCAAGAGAATAATGATCAGCTTATGCTATTTAGATATAATTTCCCAACATAATTTGATTACCCAATTCACTACTACTATTAGATTAATAGAGTCACAATATTTGAATTAGAACCCTACCAATTAATGACAACTAAGGCTGGTAATCTAGTCGAGTTTAAACCGAATCTGTCGAAATTGTTCAAATGAACTTAAAAAATTGTTAAAACTCAACTCGTTTAAAACTCTCATAGCTTAACTATTTTACAATAAATGAATTGAGTTTTGCACGCTCGAGCCAAGCCTTTAGGTTCGTTTAGGAAAACGAGCCTAAAAAATTGTTCAAATTCAAATCATTTAGAAAACAAACAGAGCTCAAAACAAGTCAACAGCGGATTGAATCATCAAATTGAGACTGTAAATTGGGTCAAGTAGTATATTGAATTACATTTCTTGTTCAGGTTACCAGGTAAAACTGATGGATTCAAAATGCAGTCCATTTGCCAAACCAGATGAGCAAATAGCTGCAACTTCCTGTCTCATCTTCTTTGGGCCACTTACAAGAACTCCAACACTAGATCCTTCACACTCCAATATTATTTCTGCAAAAAAAGGTTACACCCAATTTGGCTACCTTAGGACAATAAAGGTGGTGCATGAATTGATCAGCAAGCTCGAGATATTCAGGATTGTTCACTATAGAAAGGGAGAAGATCCAGAAGTCTGCATGGTAACAGAATTTGGCTACAATGTATTGTGTTACAAGGCCAAAATAATGACTAGTACATCTATGATCGATGTTTTACCATTTCGATTAAAATAAAAACATATGCACGAGGTTCTTTGTAGAACAATATTTGGCTAGAGTTAGATATACGCAAAAACCCACATGCGAAGAGATTATTTTCGATGTTTTACTGTCTAGATGAATTTGAAAAAAGAAGTGTGAAAGATAAAAATTACTTACTTTCCAGGTTAGGCTTTTCACCATAGTGAACTGTGGTAGCTTGAACAAAGGACTGTTGGGCAAGGCTCTCTAATTCTCTGTCAGCATTGTACAGCCGTGACCCTGATCCTGGTCCAGGTGATGTCATTGATGTTCGTAAGTCCATGTTTTGAATCTGCCTCATCTCCTTAACGTTCTGTTTTTTGTTCCACAGAAAAGCTGCAGTTGCAGTAATTACTATAGACAGGCATATGAATAACATGTTTAGAGCAGACCTCGGAGAGTATGAATATATCATATTAGTATCATGGTCAATGGGGTATTTATGGTATTGGGTCAGAATGCCGATGAGCAGAAGAAAAATAACAAAAGAACATGAAATTATAGCGCCAAGCCAAAGCCAGCTGTTTGAGCCTAGAATTGCTGAAACTGGTGCATCCAAATCATTGGGCTTGAACCATATGATCTGGTGGACCTTCTGGTTGTCTGTTATAGGCTCTTTTTCTCTGGTCACATACGCTTCAATTCTTAATTGCAAGTCAGAAATGTCGTATGTGGTGTCTGAAACTGGGAGGAGGAGATCTAGCATGGTGAGATCTACAGATTTCTTGAAAGCAGCAATGAGAAGCACCCTTGGCGTCTTGCAGCTTCTTGTGGCTGCAATAAAGAGCAACTCACGGATGATAGATATAAATGGAGTAATGCCACTTCCTCCACTCACCATCAGAAGCATATCATGCCTACAGCATAGTTTTTTCCATCTTAATTCAGGAATGAAAAACTAGTCTAACAATGTAAAATTATTGAACCATGGTTCAGTCCCGCTGTTATGCTTGCTTTTGTGGTTGTGTGTGTGTGGGTGGGTGGGTGTTTTTGACTACTGTTTATATCTTACCATTCTCTTTCAATATGCATACCTTAGAAAATGGGTCGAAGCAGGTCCATAAGGTCCTTCAATAGAAACTTCAAGGCGGTCCATCGGTGAAGGTGATGACAGCTTCTCATACAATTTTTGAGACCAACTCCCTTTGCTTTTAATAACAACACTCAGCTTCTCGGGTTCCAAGTTACTGTTTGAGGTAACAGTAAAGGGATGCCATTGTAGCTTGGAAATGCCAGGAACATTTATGAACATGGAGCTTGTTGCATTATAAATCAACCCTGATATCAGAAAGAAAGAAAAAAGCTATATAACCAATCTGTATCAAAATATCCCTGTCAAGCTCTTGTTTCACTATGCCCTTTCACATATTTACTCTCATTTTCTTTACGAAAAGGGCAGTTAACTTGTAACTCACCTGTGCTTTTAGAGAAATTTAATTCCATAACCTGGCATGGTAAAACACGGGCAGAAACCAAGCCTACTTTTTGTTGAGATTGCAAGAATCGTAGTAATCGGTCAATCAGGAATAGGTAGAAACCAGGAAGCATGGTGCAAGAATAAGTGAACCCCACATGTAATACAAAGAATACAACGAATAGAATGTAGAGGTAATGAGTGTAGAAGAAGAGCTCAAAATTCTTTCTCCTCATGCGAGGGAAACTTGTCACCCACATGGCTAGTCCAAAAAGCAAGGCTACTTCTCCGGCCACATTTGCGACCCCAACTTTCTTCCATTTCATAATCTGCATTGCATAAATTGATTGCTTTTAGGTTTCTGTTCGTAGGTGTCTAATATTTTCTAAATAGATCACTCCAAGTTGCAGTATTGGTCATGTTTTATCTAACAAACGACAAGTATATCTTACCTCTGAAGTTTGATGTGTCCCAGCCCAAAAGATGATGTAACACAAACCATGTGCCATGAAGAGGGTCAAACCACTGTGCCCGAGCCAAATATGGTATTTAATGCTTGACTCTGACGTGAGGCCAATAAGCCGCAACATTGACGATCCTCTAGTCACAGGGAAAAAGAGAAAGGCAAGACAGATGTTACCTGAAATGCCAAGCACTAGAGCTGCACTTTGTAACTTAGCCTGCCACCTGACAAAGCAGCCAGAAGCTTTCTTTAAGTTGGTTCTTCACTTGATTACTTTTACCAACCAAGTAAAGGAAAGTGGGAAGAATAAAAAATCTACAAGAAGTTTTCCATTCAAAGAAAAAAAACCTACATTTTCTCTCCCATCCGTGCTGCAGGTTGTTCGTAATACACAAACATGTCATGTAAATAAGCTGAGAATGACCAAATCAAGAGTGCAATGAACATAAATAAAAACAATAATTCAGTCCAAGAAACAATCCCAAGAAGGCCTTTCACAAGTGCTGGCTGCCTCCATGAGGTCAAATGGGAACTTTCTGCAGTGCTGTCAACAGAAAACAATATTCCAATTATGTCTTTACGAAATCAGTGTTTGTTATGAAGTTATCTCACATAAATAGGCTTACTAAGTTATATTCAAAGCATTCAGAAAGTAATGATCACAATTCTAAGATTAAATGTTGCAGCATAAACCAAACACCTTTCATCAACACGATCAACGTAGTTCTTTTCTAGATGGAGGCATAAACACCCCAAAGTGGCAGTGAGAAGGACTGGAAAAGTATATATCAGAATATTTGCACCTGCATAATTGGAGATACCATGCTTAAAAATATAGATTTACTGCTTACATTTTCATCCCAAAAGTGACTAATCATGTTAAAGAAGAAACTGTTTTTTTAGCTATGGAAAGAACAAAGCATACCTTCTTGTCCAAAATATGTTGAATTTGTCCTAGAATAGATATCCGGCAACCAATGTAGCAAAAATTTATCGGTTGGCATCATAATCCATAACATCATATACCCTGAAGAAATCAACGTTATGAGCAGCCTTATTCCTAAATGAACTGACTTAATTCCTTGATGAGCTTTTTTCATCACCGTTGAACCCATCCTCTCTCTCTCTCTCTCTCTCTCTCTCACACCGACCGTTAACAATCTGTTTGTTCAAGTGGATGTATTCATAGATCCTTATATAGAAAGTGATAGGAGTATTTTGAAAAGAAAACAACCCAGTCAACTCTAGCTGACACACCATCTGCATCACCAATAACCCCATCACATCTATACCTACTTCATAAAATTCTTATATAAATTGTTTAGTTCGAAAACAAGGTAGGGATTTTAGGCCCTACACACCTCAACACATGCTGTGTAGCATTTCCAACCGAAGTTTATGATATTGTTTGTTTTGGACTAGACTCGTATGACTTTATAACGTGTTGTACAATGAAGGCCTAAAACTTAAGCTAATACAACACCTCACAAGCATATGTCACCAAGCTGTGTAGGATTGGGTCACCACATGCTGGGCTTAAGGGAATACCCCCTCTCAGAAGCTCTACTTCCTTCATTTATAGTATTATGCTATCAAAATTCAGCCATGACATGGGTTAAGCATCGGAGACTCTCTCACTGGCATCTCTCTGTGTATCCTAACTTTTTTTATCTTGCAGGTCACAAATGGGTAGACTTATTGGCTTACTGGATTTTGGCGTCAATATTTGGAGGTAGCAGAGCTCAAAAGTGACATTACTCAGAGGTGATCAAGGTTAGACTTTAGAGAATGAGGTTAGGGGTCTGCAGTGCAAGGTCTGTGCAGGACTAGCATTCCTGCATAGATCAACCCCCGGATTGAAATTTTGATTTCGGTTTTTGATTTGCCTTTATATGATTATGACAATCGAATTAATGAAAGTTGTGTGTTTGGCAAACATCATTGGAATTCTTTGAAGGCTAGATCATGGAGAGAAACTCAACCACTTTAAGCTCAAGCCAAACAAGAGGTCACAGGTTTCTGATCAGAGCCATAAAAACATTGACAGGAGCTCTATAGAGAAGTCCAGCGTATAAGAAAAGCTGACGACTTCCAAAATTAGGGGTTAGATGTCAAATTTCCTTAATTTTGGGTTGTATTGAGCACAAGAGCATCGAGACTAATGACCTACTTCCTTCACCTGAACTCGCTGCATATGTTCATCAGGGAACCTCAGCCTCCTCATTAGATGGGCTGAAGCCTGTTGAAACAAGCTATCTATTAACTAGTACATATATCCAGAGAGAGAGAGAGAGAGAGAAAACTTGAAATCCACTCAATATCTATCATATAAAAGCTCTTTTTTATCTGTGTTATGGTGTTACCTTAGACTAATTACAAGCATAAAAAAGATTGAAGTATCAAATACAATGTACAGAAGGACAACAATATAATTTTCTAATTACAAGTATTCTAATTTTCCTTGAAGGTTATCTTCTCTTCCGAAAAAAAGGCCAAGGGTATGCATAACTTTGCTCCATACTTGATTTTTATCAAGAACCAACGAAATTGATTACAGATAAGATAGCATCATCACCGTAACAGGATGTTAGGATTCATAAAGTTAAAGGAAAACGAAATTGGGGAAAAACAAACATGTAAGATTGATAAATTAAAAAGGCATCCATCCAACAAAAAACTGAATAAAATTCCAATGAATTTGACTCATCAGCACCACAATTAACAATGTATAATCACAGTTCTGTGTATTGTTGGGAGCGGAGGAATAAAATACTTCTTGCAGCCCTAAACTTGAAACAAATTTCAAAAAAAAAAAAGAGAATCAATGATACCTCAGTATTGCAATGCTTTATGGCTCCATCAACATTCTTGCAGCTTGATGCAATGGATAAGTAGTACGCAGATGTTGAGCTGAGGATTAATGGTTTACAAGAACCAATCAGAATTTGGTTGGGTCCAGAGATTTGAAACAAGGAACCAAATAAAACCTTGGATTGATCAAATTTGAGTTGGCTTTCCATGATCGACTTGTTATGAGCACGAGAGCGTCGAGGACAATGATGCTATTCGATGTCTCTAATTTTTCTTAACCGTCGAGGACGATGATGATCAGATTTGAGTTGAATTTGATGATCGACGCTGGCCCTAGGAGAGGAGAAGAGGCCATGAATGAAACCGCTATCCTCCCACTTTATCCCTCAAGAATCTATTCAATTATATATGACAGATAACATTCATAGAACGTGAAATATTGTATCAGCAAATTAATTGTTATTGTAACATTGCTCTAGATAACTGAGTATGATACTTACATTGAAAGGGTGCGATCATACTAGCACTAATGCACCGAATCCCATCAGAACTCCGCAGTTAAGCGTGCTTGGGCGAGAGTAGTATTAGGATGGATGACCCCCTGGGAAGTTCTCGTGTTGCACCCCTTTTTAAAAAAAAAAATACTTATATTGAAAGAATTTTATACCTGAAAGAATTCCATGTGTTTGAGAATATAACAATTTCATGTTCAAATGTTGTCTTTTTCCATTCGGTGTTTGCATCCCCAATTCTCTATCCCTCGGTCCTTTGTGAAGGCTTGTGATAGAGGTGGAAGGATGTTATTTTCTATTTAATGTCTGAAAACTACCACTGTTGCTTGTCCAAAGGTTGTCTATTTTCTTCTCCTTCTCCTTCTGCTTCTTTTGCTTCTCCTCTTGTTCCATCTTTCTCCTACTCTTCCTTTTCCTCCTCCTCCCTATCTTCTTCTTCTCCTACTACAACTTATTCTTTCTGATTTCTCTCCTCCTCCTCTTGCTTATTCTGCTCAACTTCTCCCCTTCTCCTCCCTTTTTTCTTCTCATGCTTCTTCTACTTCTTCTTTCTCCTCCTCATCCTTTTCCTTCTCCTTGTTTAGGGTAGAGGGTTTAGGATTTAGGGATTAGGGTTTAGGTTTTAGGATTTTAAAGTTTTAGGATTTAGGGTTTTAGGGATGTATTTCTAACTAATATTTATTTTGGATTTATTACATGGTCAATTGATATTGTTATATTTCTCATTTTTCAATGCCTTTAAATGAAATTTTGATAGTGGAGTCTGAGAGATGGATCAATTGAACAAACTTATAATGCTTAGTAGATCAGGAGTTATGCTTCCATATGTATGATTATGATTTGTGTTAATAATGATTAACAAATTTATCGATGTCATTTAGTTGTTTTGGAGTACTTTGTGTATTTAAATGTTGTATGTGTTGTGTAATTATGCGGCACATGCAATCTAGTATATATATATCTCTACTTGTCGAATAAGTGAATTGACACGTCACTCATTTTTTTTCCCCATTGCTCTTTATTGTCCTTAATGCTTTTTCATTTTCTCTATACATAACTAATCTAATGTGTCTTCCTTTCAGTTGTTCGTGGAATGGATGTTGGCTTATGAAGGAATAAAGAGGATTGAATTGGGTAGAGATTCAACAGAGATTTGTGCGTCTTGATTGCTGGCAAAAAATCAATTCGTTCTTGAATTTGACCTACAACCTCCTTGCTACGCCGCCTTCGTATTCAACTGCCAACCTTCCCATCTCTCCCTCTTCGTTGCCGTTAACAATTGGAGATAATGATACCAATAATGCTCCCCATACCCAGTTGCATAGACTTTACCAGTTGTTTGATAAAAATGAAGAACAAGAAAGATGGTAGTTCGATTATTTTGAGGATATCATTCAAGAATCAAACAATTCGTAGACTTGAACTGAGTTGAGAAACAAGATGATATAAAGGAAGAGAGAGTTGGTGATGTGATTATTGTTTTACTTTTTATTTTTTCAATACTTGTTTCATTTTTACGGGAAAAATAAAAAGGAGTAGAGAGAGAAAGGGAGGAATAGAGAGAGAGAAATGGAGAGAAGACTAGTGAGAGAGATAGAGGAATCGGTGACTTTAATTACCAGTTGAGTTTCTGCTCGTTACTTGGTCAATTTTGAGATAAAGAAATTAATTGTAATAGAGTAAATAGAACGACGCCGTTTTGACGTCTATTTTGGGAGACAACAACATAATGTGAGAAGCTGGTTAAACAGTGACGTTTTTGGCTAACAACACACGATGTTGTTCCCTTCTAACAGCAGAGAAGCCGCATCCCTTCCAAGTCACCACGGTGTCCGACTCTTCATCCATCATCTACAAACCCTCAATCATATACACAAACACTTCAATCTCAAAAATTTGACATGTGGGATTTTTTTTTTTTTTTGGGAAGGGGGGAAGGGGAATTTGGAAGATGGGTTGGGAATAAAAGTCTGCAAAATCCATCTAACCCAATTTTTGGAACTATATTTCTAATCTAGGTTATCAAATTCAACCCATTTTAGGCCTGTTATTTAAACTCATATTTATGGATTTCATGAAATCTGGTTGGGGGTGGGTTTCAGATGGAGTTAAAAAGTTGAACATACAAAATGACATTTATACTTCCATATAACTTATATACCCCAAATAATGAAATGATTAAATATTAAAATAATCAAATATTAATCAAACAATCAAATATTTATACCACAAATAATCAAATAATCAAATATTTATACCACAAATAATTAAATATTAAAATAATCAAATATTTATACCCTAAATAATTAAATATTAAAATCATAAGAACACAAAAAAATATTCATATATAAACACTAGTTTGAATTAAATTAATTAAAGAATACAATAATTATTTATATATAAATATATTATTATAATAATAATATATCTGTGCGTGTACTAAATGTGAGTACGAAGTTAATTGAATGTTTAATTTTATTTTTATAGAGAAGAATTTGTGTTTACAAGAGTTTTTACGAGTCAATCCAACTCCTCCTACAAAAATCAAACAAACAAATTCAATTGAGCTGGTTAAGATTCAAAGCTGTGGTAGTTGAGAATATATAAACTAAAAAGGTTCATATTCTAAGTGAGGAGAGAAAAGGTGGGAGAAGATTTTGGCCTTTGCTGTCGCATGCCATTTTTTGGTTGTATGAAGACTTTGGATGAAATGAAAGACAACAAATCTTCTTTAAGTCAGGCAATGATTAGAGGAGTTTCATTGATTGTTTACTCATTACTGACAGCTGTGGAGAGAGAGGGGTTGCAGAATGTTTGAGGAAGTGAGGTTATCTCCTTCATCCTTGGTGGTGGAAATAATGAATCTATTGAAGCTTCAGGCTTATTTTTTTAAACCAAAGGTAGGAGAATCACTTAGAGGAAGGGAGTTGCTGGCAGCCATGAATGCTCAGGTTTCTTATCAGTTAAGAACTAGAGTATTTTGCGTTAGTTGGTTGCCTCCTCCAGAGGGTGTTCTGAAGCTGAATGTAGATGGTGCATCCAAAGGTAATCCAGGTCTGTCAGGTCAGTGGGGACAATTGCTCATGGCAGCTTCCTATTTTTATGGAGTTTGTACAAACATGGAGGCAGAGATAGGATTAGCTCAGGCATGTGCGTTCATCGATGCATGGGTGTAAATCCTAATACATGATTGTCAACTGAGGACAGAATTGAGCTGCAAGGAATTGCATTGAGCATCAATTTTTTTCTTCTTTTCTCTACAGGGATGAAACACATTCATCTACCGTAGAGCCCTTAGTTATTTTTGCAGCTTGTGTACATTACTGTAAATTTATGTGACCTATTGACCATTGGATTTTTTTCATCTAATTGTAGGTTTTAACCATCAATGACTCATAACTGGTGGAATACAGTGGTAGTATTGACATCATTGATGTAGGAACAAAGGACCTCTGTCATTGTCTCTGTGTGGCTGGTTGCAAAAGCATAGCTTTACACGTAAGTTCTCTTTGGAAATTCTTGTTTATCCCATTGTAGTTAGTATTGAATATCACGTTAGTATTGTTAAGTGGCGGATAAATGTTTTTTTTTTTTTGTAATTGTTTGGGATAGTGACTTTGGCCGTAATTTGGGAAGATTCTGAAAAAAGGAACAAATTCGAAAAAGGGTTGAGAAGTATTCGGCTTATTTTTCCTAATGCTTAAGTCAATTCGTATAAAGTTTAGAGGATAAATGTATTGTATAAAGTTAGTACAATATGCATACCCAGATTCTATTCCATTGGACTATTTATAACTTTAAATATATAATGGCGTGTTAACCACTTGAGTGCGTCGCGTCTATGATCAAATTCTTCTTTCGGACCATCATATAAGTTGGTCGGTCTCCCACCATCGTGTTGTGTAATAAGTACACCATGCTTGTTAGGCTATTTTATATTGAATAACTTTGGAGTTGTGTGTGTAAAATTTAATATTTAAAGCACTCTACTATTATTTAAATAGTAACAATACATCAAGTCCACAAATTGGATAAAACTATATTTCTCAAATTGTTTTACCAATTATTGTATTTTAAATGATATATCACAATTATATACATTGAATGTTTGATGAAATTAATAAATCCCACCGATCAAAATATTTACACTGACTTTATATATAAAATTTAATAAATAATTTGATAAATCTAACACTAATCTCCAAATTATGTCCGGTCAACTTTTTTTAATGGATCCATTAGATCAATGATCCGTATTGTCATTTACGATACCAAATTTAGAATCCGTAGCATTGCTGAATGAATCATGATCTGTGGTGGTGACAATCATTGTAGTCCTTGCTTGAATTTGGATTGAATTGAATTGCTTAATCTGAGTTAGAGAGAGAGAGAGGCGGGGTAGAGCTTATTGAATCGATTTCCGGAAAGAGTAGTATTTGAACATGACGGAGGTGATCGTCCATATATACGACGTGACCAATAGTGATTCAGACAAGACGAACAACACCATTGTTCAGATCAATAAGATCTTTAAAGACTGTATCGGTCTCGGCGGCATCTTCCACAGCGCCGTCCAGGTCTCTCTCTCTCTCTCTCTATATATATATATATATATATGTTTGTGTGTGTATATATATAAATGCACGTATACGTATATGGATATATATCTAGTAGTGTTTTTTGTGCAACTCTTGTCATTTCCGTTCAAATCATGCAATGCTGTATGTTTTGAGGAGATATAGTGTTCTAGCTTTAGTTTTGGGAGCTCTGATGTGGTGGTGGTGGTGGTGAATTTGAATTTGGTCAAACACATAAGGTTTTGTTTTATTTTGTTATTTGTTTGGTAGATGTAGTTAACAAGTTAAACATTTGGTTGTGAAACCTCAAGGGTACCGTAAGTGTTAATTGGGACGAGGTGATGATTCGGATCAGAGAGAGGTGATTAGTGATGGGGCACATAAGCTGGTTTGGACACTCCTAATCGCTGAACCAAAAAACAAAAAAAAACATTTGGTTGTTGCGTAAATTTTTTTGGAGCCTAAACTACATTGCATTCTTCAACTGTGGACTATGTATACAATAATCCAAGGCAGGTTTGTAATGTGGTTTTTTGGTTACTAAGGTATCACGGACAAATTGAAGTGTTTTGAAATTTTCCTGGTTTTGGGATCTCTGTTATGGATTAGGGTGCCAAAAGTCGCTTCTCTTGCATTGTCTCACCTGTGTTGAAATAATTAGCGGTCAACAAGAGCATATATTTCTCCTTACTGCATTCAACTTAATTTATTTTATCATGTCTGTTCTAATTCGCTTCATGTTCATCAGTTAATGATATTTGATTTCTCTGGATTTCTGTAGTCTAATTTCCTTAATCTCATGTGAACTTGTATGTTGTTAAGATACTTTCCCTGAACAAGTTGCATCTCGGTATAGGGCTCTTCTAATTATCTATATAATATGTATGACAGGTTTATGGAGATAAGGAATGGTCATTTGGGATCTGTGAACAAGGCATTGGAGTTTTCAGGTGTCCTTATGGAAAGAACCCGATGTACACATATCGTGAAAGCATTGTGCTTGGAGAAACAAACTTTTCCATCTCCAAGGTCAATCAGATCCTGAGGGAGCTTAGTACGGAGTGGCCCGGGAAATCTTATGATTTGTTGTCAAAGAATTGTAATCACTTCTGTAATGAATTTGGTGAAAGACTTGGTGTGCCTAAACTTCCTGGTAGTTTGCATTCTCTCTCTCCTCTCTCCCCCCCTCCCCCCCAAAAAAAATAAAAAGAAGAAATCCACACTCATGAGACGTCTGTTACACAGTTTTTTGTATTGTCCGAGTTAACTGCCAATCATAAATATGTTTTCTACTGCTCCTTGAAACATTTGAGGGGTAGTGATTCATCCCTATGCATTTACAATTGCTCAATAGAAAGTGTATAATGCTTGGAAACATCCCACACGAACTCTGGATGTAATGTTTACAGATATCAACATTTCCTTTAGCTTCCACTAATATTATGGACTAGCTAATCTCTATCTTCTTTCTACAGAGTTCTGGAGGCCTAAGTGGTGGCAACATGGAATTTCTGTAGCTAATTCTTTGTGGTTTGAACGAAGTTTGCTTGAGTTTAAAAGTGCCTGGAATGTGGAAAGGATTCATACACTACATGTATCTGTTCTTGCAGCCTATAACTTCATCTTAGATTGACGATCAATGAAATGTAATGCAGGATAAGGATTTGAGTTTCAGTCAACTGGAGCATATAGTGGTTTGCTATCTTATACAGAACTAGTTCACATATACTCTTTCTGATGAGAAAATTGTGATATAATTTCAACCGACTATCTCTTTTTCCCTCTCTTTTTACAAAAGAAAAAAAAAAGTAAAATTGTGAAGCATGTTCTTAATAACCAGTAGACTTCTCTGTGGCGTCAATGTATGAAGCAGCCTCAAATATAGCACATGACCAGTAAAGAGGTTTCAGAGTTTCCAGTTTGTTGGAAGGCCAAATTGCAAACTTAATTATGTCGTCTTAAAGCTGTCCATTGTTGGTGTACAAAATATTACTTGCCCTTTTTCGATAACTTTCCTTATGTTTTCCGACTGACTCGTATATGGAGTATGATCACATTCTCGGTGCTTTTGTCCTATGTTCCATTAACTGACGGAAACAATTTCTGTTTGTATAACATAATTGTTCTTTGCAATTCGCAATGTAAAGCATGTTCTCACAACTTCTGTTGCAGGTTGGGTTAACAGATTTGCTCATGCAGGTGATACTGCCGCGGAAATAGCAGAAAGTGCAGCCTCACGGGTGAGATTATCCTATCTTTCTCTGATTTCACTCCATATCAATCGGAAAACTCCTGTCGTGAAACCTCAATAATGTCTTCCCTCCTGGGTCAAGAAGAAAAACTGAAAGGATAACATCTGTTAACTCACAACAAATTGAGCTTTTTGTTGCATGTGAACAGTTTGAAGTGGGCACTTGCGGCTTTGTGCAGTTACTGCCGTATCTGTCTTTCTGAATAGATGCACTGATTCCTGTAGTCTTCCGAATTGGACTGGGAAATGGAGTGCCTATCTAATAATGCATAGAATTATTAGAGCCATCCATCGTGGAGTGGAATGATTTTTTTCCAATCCCATATCTCTCTCCATTATCTCCTCTCACTCCCACACACACACACACACACACCCAAACACGTACACACACACCCAGCAAAGATGCACACACAACAAACACACACGCACAAGCCACATATATATATATATATATAAGCTGTGTTCAGATCTGTATATATATACACAGATCTGTGTATATAGAGCTGCCTCCAATGAAAATGTCCGAAAATGGCCACCACCGATGAGAGAGAGAGAGAGCTCTGTTCAGATCTGAACTGAACAGATGCGTTTCCCCTTTTTTCTCATTTTGACTTGAAAACAGAGATAACATCATTTAGATGTGTCTCTAAAAATTGGTTCAGTTCTCACTTTTTTCTAAAAATTGGAGAATAAAAAATCAAACCAAACAAGTTTTCTCTTATTTTAAGAAATTAGAAAACAGAAAACTGTTTTACAAACACGCCCTAATGTTTCTTATATGACCTTTGCTCTGCATTAACATTCTCCATTCGTTAACCACTGAAATTACCATACATACGAAAATCTAGAAATATATTCTATTGATGCCTCAAATTTGTGAACACCACTTCTTAAGGACTAAGAGAAAACTTTCAGACACATTTAACAAGGGACAAAATCACGAAACCAAGATAAGGAAGAATGCTTGGAATGATAGAAGCAAGATGTCCGATAAACAAGTAGAGGGCATGTTCACCGGGAAATATATACAACGTTATTGAGAACCACGGGCTACAGCTAAGACACCACAACGTGACTGAAAGTGACAACCGTGGACTACTGTTAAGATACCATAAGGTGACTGAACGTGACAAACGACACTTGTTTCTTACCCTCTAAACATTCGGTTGAAGACAAAGGCGTCCCCGTGTGCATCTTCAGCTATTTGCAGTGACGAAACTGCCTGCGATGCAATAAGATCTGCTGAGATTTCTGTAGTATCCCAACCTCCCTCATCGAAGTGTGGCGTCTGAAACTCCATCCCAAAAGGATTAGATGAAACAGTCCAGTAGCTGCTTCCCCAGTTATTCAAATGGGTTCCAGATCCGTGAGCATCAGAAACCCATCCAATTCTGTCAAGAGAATATTTTGAGAGGTCTTGATGAGGGAGGGTTGCTTTCCTACCACTCATAAAGAGGTCAAAATTGCCAGCACAATCCCAAGGGTTCAACTCCTCATCCTTCTTCAACATGACTTTGCATGGATCGTCCGAGTCTTCACCATGTAGCACATGCAGTGCAACTGCTTCAGCAACTGCAGCACCCTCGTCATCAAGCCTCTGTTGTTCTTCTTTCTTTTTCTGTTTCTTCTGTTCTAGTTCTGAACGGATGGCTGCAGAAGCAGCCAAGGCTTTCTCTAAGCGCCTTTTTTTCTTCTCAGCTTGTTTGATACGATCCAACTCATCTTTCACTTGCTTCTTCTTCACCTTTCTAGCACCAGATGGTGCTTTCGCACAGTCCATCTTATACAATAACGCAAGGCTCTGTAACTAATCAGTTCTGTTCGCTCTATTTCTTTTTCTTGCAACTTCTTTTTCTTTAAGAGAACTTGTCTAAGATCGTATACATTACCTATGTGTGTTTTTTTCACTTTCCTTTGGTTACTTCTTGTTTAATCCTAATAACCTATAATTAATTCCCAACTTGTAACTAAATATGACTTCAAAATCTTGCCACCTACACCCACTCAAGTGTGAAGGAATACCTCATTTTGCGAACAATGCATTCCCAAACAGAAAGAACAGGACATAGCAGAAGAGAAAATTGGTAAGCATTCAAAGATCGCTCCCTTGGTACCATTCTTCCTAGTTTCCCACAACCCTTGCATTTAACCATCTCGTGCACTCCAATCAAAATAACTACTTTTAACCAAAAAAGTCTGCAATACCAGTTGGTTCAAACAATTCACATGGCCTTCTTTCCTGTATGAAAACCGCAAAAAACTTAATATGTAAGATGGAGGAATTTGGTACACAGAAAATTTTGTAAAATCAAAAAAAAAAAAAAGAAGAAGCTACAAAGCTATTTATTTTAAAAGGAAAAAAGGAGGCATTCATTACGCGCATATAACAAAGAAAGAACATTAAGACATAACCAGATTGTACTGAGAAGCCTAATCCGAGTTATATATATATAAGCTCACTTAGCAGATATTGGCTATAAACAAGAATAATCTTCGGTAACCAATGAGATTTCCGAAGGACTCATTTACTGAAATTAAAATAGGTTTCACGATACAATTAAACCATTAAAGTAACAGAAAAACTGAGATTGCCTATGTCGAAAGAATATGTCAACACATTGAACTCATTTTGTTGTGTTGAACCCGCAACCTCTTATCATCAAAGGGCCAAAGACCAAACATAAACGAATTGACCAACAAGTCATTTTTCATTACTCTTTAAGTCAACCCTTTAGAGGGTTGAGCTTTATTACAATTAATTCTCTAGCAACCAAAAGGAGACTAATGGAAACCCCAATTTGATCGATGAAAATCAATGTGAACACTAAAATCTGATCAACCCACATCTAGATCCGATTGATAATTCTGCTGTAATGACCCTAATTCAATTCACATCCAAATTATCCCATAATCTACAGCAAATGATTCAAAAACATGAAATTCGCTCATAATGACTCATTTCTATACATTAATTATCATCAGATCAAAACACCCAAAATAAAGCTGAAATTGATTCATTTATTTCATCAAGAAGCCAACGGAAAATGAAACTAAAAAGAAAGATTAACAAATCAAACCTGTCACAGATGGAGAGAGGAAGACCCCCCGCTATCTCTTGGTTGTCGAGTATAGTAAAGAGAGTGAGGATCTGAAGAAAACCTAGAAGATGAACGAGAGAGAGAGAGAGAGAGAGAGAGAGAGATGAAATAACTGATCACGTGAGAGTGCCGGTGAGTAAAAAGGAAGACGAGGATGAGTAGGATAAGGAAGGGTAGAAATGTCATTTGTCAATGAGGACACGTGGCGGATAGATGGATTAAAAATCTAGAATCACCGACTTTTCTGCGTGTAGAGTTGGAACGAAACAGGGCTTCGATCTCATAGTTTGCGTGAAGGACACTTGGCAATTGATGCACACTTGGAAGTGGTGTCTCACCGATTGGAATTTTATAGCCGTTGGATTGAGTGGTTTTCATGGACGGCTCTGGATAGATCAAAAGAAACGTTGCCATTGTATATCTCAATCTAAGTGTTATTGAGGTTAGTGATTCATGGTTACCGCAATATTGTTGAACATTAATTACGTTATTATCAATGGTTGTGATTTAGAAACTTTTTTTTTTTTTGGGGTAATGAGAGGAATTTCTAATTTATCTCTGATAAGTATGGATTTACTTATGTTATTGATGCTTGTTAGTTCGAGTAGAATTAAGGGTAAATCTTGAGTGTATAGATCGGTCCTTCAACCCATATACATCAATTAAATTAGAATTTACTCTACGGTTACACTTTTGTTGAGATTTGAACCCATTCTAAATACTTGAATACAATTTGTTAAAGTAATTTAAATTTGTCTTACCAACCAATCACATTTTTTATTGCTTAAGAAATTAGAATTTTTAATTTTAAAAAGATAAAATCTTTACGGGGCAAGGAAAACATTGTGTCACCGATGATTGTGATTTAGAAACTTTAGTAGGCACGTACAAGTGATTTCTGTTTTTGAGAGCACATACGAGTGAGGATCAGAAGCATCACTATTAAAATATTATAATATAATTGCATATAAATTATAATTTTTTTTAAAAAAAATAAATTTTTATTTTTAATTTTATTTTAATAAATGATACAATAGAACATTAATTTTAGTTGTAAAATTTAAAATATTTGATATGCTATCTTTAATTTGAGTATTTTTTTTTTCTAAATATAACATTTTAAACTTTAAAGATTTAAGTATTATATGTTTATAAACTTCAGAGGGTCTAGATATAATTTACTAATAAACATTGACAACAAAGGTCTAAGGGATCTATGTATAATATTTCAAATGTTAGAAAAATTGAGTGATTAAGTGACAAAGTTTAGAAGGTTTGAGTGTAATTCTCCTTATTATTATTTGCTGCAACATAGTTCTACTATTATGTTCTATACTAGAGGTAACTCGTATTTGAAGATATAATGCAACATAAATGACGAGGGATGGAATTGGAAAACAAATTGTGAATGATTTTGAGAGGAGCGTTGATGACCGTTAGATTAATCTATTTGAAAGATAAATTTGTTGAAATTTACTTTATTTTATATTATTATAAATATTAATTTATACACTCTCTATTCGAGATTGTAATTTTTTTCTCATGTACAAACTATGATTTTTTAAGGATGGTGTAAAGAGAATTAAACCTTCATCCTAAGTCACTATTAAATTCAAATATCTGATATTTTATTATTCTAATTGGAGTTTATTACCAAAAAGAAAAAAAATTACCACTAGTCTGGTGGATTAGGATAAGATGATTTTTCCCCCTTAGTGAGCTGTTTGACAATTTTTCCTTCCATTATTCTATCCAACGCTCGCTTCCAATTCTGTCTTCATCACTCTGCTCACAGGACAACTACTGAACAGTCTGAAGATTTTGAACTGCACTAAACCATGTTCTTCCTCCTCTAAATCCTCTCTCTCTCCCACACCCACACCCACCAACCAGCAATGACTTCTTTACAACTGCTGACGAACCCTAAACCCTCCTCTCTCTACTCCTCCACACTAACCTCTCCCAATCCTTTCACAACCAAAATCCAAACGCCTCCAAAAACCTTCCAAAGATCCAAGCCCACCACCCAATCAGTCCTACAATACAACCGAAAGCCCCAATTAGCGGGAGAAACCCCAAGAGTCGTGGTCATCACCTCCGGCAAAGGCGGCGTAGGCAAGACCACCACCACCGCCAATGTCGGCCTCTCATTAGCCCGCCACGGATTCTCCGTTGTCGCCATAGACGCCGACGTCGGCCTCCGCAATCTGGACCTTCTATTGGGCCTCGAAAACCGCGTCAATTACACCGTTGTTGAGGTCCTCAACGGCGATTGCCGACTCGACCAAGCCCTAGTACGCGACAAGCGCTGGTCTAATTTCGAATTGCTCTGTATATCAAAGCCCAGATCCAAACTCCCAATTGGGTTCGGTGGGAAAGCCCTAGTTTGGGTTGTTGAAGCTCTAAAAGATCGCCAAGAAGGTTGCCCCGATTTCATACTAATAGATTGTCCGGCTGGTATTGACGCAGGGTTCATTACGGCAATCACGCCAGCGAATGAGGCGGTTTTGGTCACCACACCGGACATTACCAGCTTAAGGGATGCTGATAGGGTTATTGGGTTGTTGGAATGCGATGGAATTAGGGATATTAAGATGATTGTGAACAGGTCTCGGACGGATATGATTAAAGGGGAAGATATGATGTCTGTTCTTGATGTTCAGGAGATGTTGGGGCTGGCATTGTTGGGGGTGATTCCGGAGGATTCAGAGGTGATTCGGAGTACAAATAGGGGTTACCCACTTGTGTTGAATAGACCACCAACGTTGGCTGGGTTGGCTTTTGAGCAGGCCGCTTGGAGGTTGGTTGAGCAGGATAGTATGACGGCTGTGTTGGTGGAGGAGGAGCCGAAAAAACGTGGATTTTTCTCCTTTTTCGGGGGCTAGAAACTGAATTTGTTTATAATTTGACTGATTTTGTGGAATTATTTGAAAATGGAGATCTTTTGAGACTAGTGTCTGGCTTGTGTTTTCAGTGGGAACTGCTTGGTGGCGATGAGGTGTAGATTTGAAACTGTATATAGTAGGGATACAAGGTTTGCTGTTCTTTATTTTGACTATATTTCACTGTTCTGTGTTTTATAGTTCAGAGTCTAGTGTTACATTATAGCTTTATTTTGTAGTTTGTGACCAATTCCAGGTTTTCAGCCCAACTGTATTCCTTTGCTTGAGTTATAAATTTTATTTTTTTATACAGTATCAATTGTTACTTGGTAGAACTTCTGATGTTTGTGCCTTCTTGATCATTTTACATTGGAAAAACCTTGTAATTAGCATTCAATTTTGATGATTTAAGGTTTGAAACGATGCGAATTTAGTGATTTTAATATGCTTTGGTAACTATGCTGCATCTTCTGTTACATGTTAGTAGGATCAAATCAATTCAGGTTCTTTCAGTCTGTTGAGTATACATTATTGGCAGTCTGATGTTCTGGTGAGCTTATAATACACATTTTTGTCAGTCTTATGTTTTGGTGAGGTTATAATAGGCAACATATAGGAATTTGATCGTCAACCGAAGTGTTGAATTATATGTTGACTTCCTTTCTTTTTGCTGACCAAATTAGCACCTAAATAATGCGGATAGTTCCGAGCTGAACATTTGGTGATCCCCTCCCCACCCCATTTTTTGCCATGTCCAAGATGAGTTGGGATATGCCTCGCCTTGCATGGCTGAGTACTAACTAGGTTCCCTTCCAGTGCTCGATATGGTCTCTAACAGATACAATTCAAAGACTCATCCAAAACTTACATTTTGGGAATATTGCAAAATGAAATTGGATATCCCTCTCCTTGCGTAGCAGGGGTCGACACATCCAATGCTCTTTCTTCGGCCTGGCAAGACATGATCTGTAACAGAGAATCCAATTCCACAACCTTTAATATAGGGAACTATTGCTGTGTCCACAATCAAACACCAACACGCACAAGGTCCAGACAGTGTTTCATGTCATTGTCAGCTAATCAGGATATTGCAGGGACTCCTTGATCAGGGTTCCAGCATGATTGCAGGCCCCTTTGATGTTTCTATCTTCACTTCTTCAGGTTTGGCAAATGCTTTTCTCTGCTTGTGGGAGGTAACTTTTGGGAGGAAGTGGATGCTGCAGGAGCGGTCTCTTTGTTTCACTGGTTTGTCTCTTCACACGAGCTTCCATTAGCATCCTGAAACAGTAATGGACCGATGGGCAACTTTACACCCACTGATTTCGTTGTATTCGTCTACATCGAGCATACAGGTTAGCTTCAACCACCATTCTAGGGCGTCTGACAGCAAAAGAAATTGGCCCTTCTTAGGTCATAAGATATTTATTCCTCTTGAATAACTAACTTAGTCTTGGTTTGACTGGATCGAAAAGGGAATTAATCGAGATACATATAAATTGGTCGAAAAATTTCCCACTGGCCCAAAAATCCTAGAGAGGTAATATCACTACGAACACAAACCCAAATCAGACTAGTATAAAGAAAATATGAGCAGGCTCTGATACATTGTTTAACGGGCCCAACTCAAGAGAGATGGGCTGGGCCAAAACCTTATAGTTAGAGGTGGCCTTTCTTCTCTGGTCGGACCAATGGACTGATGTCTAGCAAAAGCTGCAAAACACCTGAGTACCCAAAATTATTAACGATTTTTTCAGGGTGGGTTAAGTGGGCAAAAGTGGCCATGCGAAACCTCCAACTTGGATAAAAGATTTAATGGAATAGTTATATCACGTTAATATTATTATGTGATGTCTTCAATCAGCAAGAATGTAACAAATAAATAATTTAATCCCATAAAATTAGTAATTATCTTTTCATGCATTTTAATTATATAAAGTGTATTTTAAGTATTAAATGTTATTTATACGTTGACGAGCCTAACAAATTTGACAAATTATTGATTAAGAAGACAGCGGAAGTAAAAAACGACAAAAATGGGGCCAACACTGGGTGGGGTGGGGTGGGGTGGGTTGGTTCGGTGGGAAAAGATATTGGGGAAGCAGAAACGTGGAAGTCTTATTAAGCAGGAGGTTTCACTTTCACTAGTGTGCATGATTATACATTAAAAAGGTCTACATATATATATATATATATATATATATATATATATATATATATATATATTAAGTTTCTTGAGCAGCATATTAATTGATTCAACGTGCATGATTTGTATTGCACAGAGTTCATGAAATTTGGTGCAGCAGCTAAGTTATTTTATTGGCACGGGAGTCGAGAGTTTAAATCGTAAAAACAGTCTTTTTATATGAAACGGTAAGTCTGTGTATATTTAATTCTCTTTTCAGACGGCTAGACCCCATAATAACGAGAATATCGAATTGTGAGTTTTTTTTTTTTGGTTGTTGTGTTGAATATATTAGTCGGTGAATAAATAGGTGTTTAGAACCGGAAAAAAAAAAAAAAGAATAAGTAGGTGAGATGTTTGCTATACTGATACTTTTGACCAGTATAGTTGTCCATAATTAATGCAATCCTATGTCTTAGGGACTGATGCTTAAGTGGGGGTCTTAATCCATGGGGGAAAAAAGTGAAGTGGATCAGCCACTAATATTCAGATTTTAAGTTCAATAAGTTTAGTCCAACATGGGATTTCCACGTAACTCATGAAATAGTGAGAAAATGTAGGTTTATTAACAAAAAAATATTAAGAGTAACTTTTCCACTATGTCGATAGTGTCGCGTGGTGTAATCGTCCACTAATAAGTAAATAAGTCGATAAATAAGTCCCACTAAAACTCATAACCACTCTTTCATTAGGGGAGACACACACTACACCACATAAAAGTTCTTTTTTTTTTTTTTGAATATAGAATATTTAAGTTTGTGTCGATTATTTCTTTAAATTTGAATGCTAATCAATGTAATTCAAACGTATTTAGAACATATTACTTAAAAATAAGGATGACTAATTCCTAAAAAAATATAAAAATTATTGAGTCCGACACTTCTAAATTACCAATAATCAATGCAATTTGCTTGGAAGTTAGGTATGAACGTAACGGTGAGGATCTCCGAGTCTCTTTAAGGATAGCATTCTTTTTCCTTGCCGATTTTGGTGACAAAACCTTTAATTTAATTCTACAATACAAAGGGGCCAAGAGAGCCATGGCCTCCCTCATCTTTTAAAAAGTATTTTTTAAGCCCTTAAGTTTTCAAAAAATAATATACTTCCCATTAGATTTTCAAGTAGTATAATCAAAAAAATTTAATTGTTTGACATTTAATAACAAAATGAGTTGTGATCACATAAATAAGCATTCCTCTTATAATTGAAAATACTTCTTTTGATGAATTTGACGACCAATTAAAAAAAAAAAAATATTGTAAAAAAAATAACTTGTTAAATAAAATGGTTGCATAAACTCTTAATCATTACGATATTTGGTCCCCGTAGAAGTTAAATTCCAACACGTATGCCCAACGATTACCCAAACTTCCACTCAACATTTTGCGTAGAATTAGCCTTTGAAACAAAGAGCTTGAATCATTTGTCAAGTTGGGCATTACCCCTTCGTTTCTCTCTCTCTCTCTCTCTCTCTTGGACTTTATTAATGTCTTCTCATTGGTGGTAAAATTGCATTAGTAGTAAAATTGCGTTGGACTTTATTATCAAACCATTTGTAACTGTTGAATCAATGAATCTTATTATTAATGCAATAGCTACAGATGATTTGGTGCATATAATTTTATCTATTCTATAAATCTGCTTAACTGTCCATAACGGAGGAGTATTCGATAAAAAAATACATCCATCCAAACCAGAATGGCAAAAAAATATAAGAAACAATGAGAATAACCAATGACCAAATCCCACCGAGTGCAAAATTTGGCTCATTTGCTTCAGTGGGTTTGGCATGGGACAACTCTTTAGGAACTGAAATATAGAGTTTTGGACGCATCTTTAACATATATGGCTGTCAAGACAGTTGTCAACAAAACGATGAAATAGAACTTCCTAGAAGACGCTACGGGCATGTTTGGTTAATTTTTTGGGGAAGATTTAGATTAACTAATTTAAATTTTTTTAAATTTAAACCCCTATTTATAAATATGGTATTTAACATTTAATCCCGTTCATACCCATATTTGATATGTGTACGGATATATCACTATTATTATAATATATCTGTATATAAATAACTATTGTGCCTCTTAACTAATCTAATTCAAACTCATGTTCGTACATTTTTTTGTGCCGTAGGATTTTAATATTTGATTATTTGGAGTATAAATATTTGATTTTTTTATTATTTTAATATTTGATTATTTGGGGTATAAATATTTGATTAATTGATTAATATTTGATTATTTGAGTAATACTTGATTATTTTAATATTTAATTATTTGGGTTATATGAGAGTATAAATGTCATTTTATATGTTCAACCCTTTAACTCTCATATAAACCCCACACCCCCACCGGATTTCATGAAATCCATGAACATGGGTGTAAATTATGGAACTAAAGCGGGTTGAGTTTGATAACTTAGACTATAAACAAGGGCGGAGGGAGGCATGGGCCACGGCGGGCAAGTGCCCCTCTTAAATTTTTATTTTTTTATTAGTTAAGTATATATATTATATATTTGTATAATATATTATTTGTGCCCACTCAAAATCCAAGATAAAAATGTTAGGTCTACATTATTTACTCAAAAGAATTAAAAAATTAAGTTCATTTAAAACAAAATTTGAGCCCACCACTATCTACCAAAACTTATTAAGAAATCAAATCTTTGACCTATCACAATTCACCCAAACTTATTAAAAAAATAAAACTTTTGGTCCACCATTAATAAACAAAATTTTTGGCCCACTTGACAAACGTGAGTTATCTTTTTGTTTTCTCTGTCTTATTCACTCCCAACTACCCAACCAGAAGAAATCGAGTAAATCTCCTTCCTCAGTTCCTTAAATTTTTTTGTTGTTCCTTCCACAATTGATGGGTTTAGTAGAGAGCATGACCGGAGCCGGCATATGCCTAGGGGGGCACATGTCCACCCTTAAATCTTTTTTCTTAACATTACCTATATGTATTTCAAGTATTTCTTCAATATTTTTAATTGTGTTCACCCTATTTTTTTGGCACATCAATTAGTGTAATTGTTTTTGACACATTTTGGACATATTATGTACCTATTTAGATAAATTTTGAATATACTAGAATCGTTTTACACTTTTTAAGACTAAAAAAGATATCATTCATATATATATATATATATATATTTTTCAGTTTACTTGTGATTTTAACATTTATTTTGTTAATTATGGTAAAAATTATAGAGTGCGCATTGAACTGCATAATTGATCGAATGAATTATAAATATCAAAGTGATAAAATGATGGTGTATATAAAAAATAATAAAGTTGTTATACAACGGTTTCAAAGTATCAAAATTTCCCAGAGTCAATTCTATATAATTTTAATTAATCTATATTTTTTAAAAAAAATCGGTATTGTTTGTATATACTAAGCTTACCAAATTTTGGTATGTTAGATTTAATGAACTTTTAAGTATTAAATAGAATGTAATTAAATATAAATTATTATCTTATTTCTATTAATTGTAAAAAAAAAAAATAATAATTTGGTGAAATATTTATGCACACCCTGATATAACTTTCTAGCTCCCCCTCCCCCCGCCCCGACTATATATGTAGTTGTCATACATTAGTTTGATAGATTTTATGGACTTTTATTTCTAACCCATCTGAACATAATAGGTGCAACCTTTACATATGGACAGGGATTTGCACAGACTAACTGCTGCTAACTAATTGTCGATTTGTCTTCAATTTATAATACTTATAATTAACGAATGATTATTAATATTCAAAATTTATTTTATAAGAATGTATTTAACATCAATTTCTCATTGTCAAAAAAGAAAACGATAATCATTCTCTTCTAATTACTCTTTTCGATTTCGAGTTTGAACTTTGGGTATTGAAAAAGAACAAGAAGTCGATTGTTATTGAATGTTGGACTTGGAGCAATGGCAAATTCTCGTATACTCGAGCAAGAATTTGCTAGTTCAAGTTTTCAAATTAACCTCTCAAATGAAAATAAGACCATCTACTATTTATCGTTCATAACTAGATGCGAAAACATTATGCAATGAATATAAAACTCTTTTGAAAAAAGCTGGTATCTTTTTTCTCTACCGTTTCCTTTTCCATTGGAGCAAGACAGTATGTCAAAATCATTTCATTAACCACACTACTTTCTGTCTAAACTGACAATAACTGTAAGTGACATTGTAAGGTGGGTTGATCATGAACTAGTTGTTCGACAATTTAATTCTCCGACTTATTTCCTTCTCCAACTCTTCAAGTCCTCCGACTTCTTCAACTTCCTGCACCCAAATGACACCAATATTAAGTCTATATGCTCATACAAAATCCCATTTTTATTTCATAAAAAAAAAAAACAACAAGAATATAAGAGAGAGAGAGAGAGAGAGAGAGAGAAGACCACCTTAGGTCCCAAGAACAACCCATATGGTACTCCATTGAACTTGTCCGAGTGGTGCAGCTGAAAACCCAGACATCAAAAATCAAAGAAGATCATGTCCGTTAGATTCCGTTACTAATATTTCCTATATGGGTTAATTACAAAATGTCTCTTTCAAGTTTAGATTAAATTGTAATCAACTCCCTCTAGTTTGAATTTCAACAAATTACCCCCTCAAAACTTGTACATTGTTCGATTAACACAAATTGTTAGTTTTGACAATGAAAAATAATAAAAATTAAATCACATGATCTCAGATTTGTTAAAAAGAAAAAATTACCTTGAATTTGAAATTTTTCATTCCTAAGAAAACTCTCCATTTTTCGTCTCAAGGCAAAATAATGTAAACAGTACTATTGTCTCTTCGTGGAATTTGGGATTATGGAATTTGCAAATGAATATTTGTTGTCATTTTTTACTGTCGAAATTAACTACTTGGATTAAATTACAAATATTCAAACTTTGAGAGGATAAATTTGTAACACTAAGAATAGAGAAAGTTGACTGAATTTGACCTAAAGTTCAAAGGGATATTTTTTAATTGTACAAATAATACCAATAAATTCTTTCTTTTTCTATTTTTTCGTTATAGGCACGGGCAATTGCTTATTTATACTATAGATATATGATTAGATTATTGTGTATTTATTACCTGGTGAGCTGCAGCGACTCTTTTGAAATAGGGTACATCTGCAATGGGTCCCACTGCGAACCTCTTATGAACAAGACCGTCATGGACAAACATATACGCCATGCCAAACACTGTAATTCCAAGGCCCTGAAAAAAAATCAGAGAGGATATTTTAAGTAATAAACCAGGGAAATTTTAACATAATCAATAGCAATCAGACAATAATAGAAGGTCAATAAAGAGTTTAAAGAGAATGATTTACTGCAGATGTGTGTGTGTGTGTGTGTGTGAGAGAGAGAGAGAGAGAGACTTACAGCGCCGAAACAGAGACCAGGAATGAGGCCTTTATGGAAGAAACCATAGGATAAGAGGGCTATGGCCGGAACGGCGTTAACTATGGCAAACACGTCGTTTAGCTCAAAAGGTCCTTCTCTGGGTTTATGGTGTGACTGTAGCAATCAAACGGTTCACGACGAATAAGATAACCTCTCAAAATTCAGACTTATTCATTCAAATCTCATTTGTTTGATGAACATAAATGCTAGAAAAGGAAGTTTTCGTTGCATTTTCTTTGCAATCAAACGGAACATAGAAAGGGAAGAGAGAGAGCCCAGAAAGCAAACCTCATGCATGTGCCATAGCGAAGCGTGCCAGAGAGCTCTATGAGCCCACCTCGCCCAAAACTCCATTCCCACCTGAAATTCAAGAATACCCAATACGGTTCAGCACCCAAATTTACCCAAAATAAACAACTAATTGAACTAGGCAGAGGAGTGGGTTGGAATTTACAGCAGCGCCAAAAGAGAGAGCAAATGTACCCAACATCTCCGAAAAGGGGATTTCTCCACCCTAATAAACCCAAAACAACCCAATTTCAGAATATATAGAGAGATAGATAGATAGAGAGAGAGAGAGGGAGAGGGGGAGAGAGAGAGAGTTCAGCAATAGACGACAAAACGAGGGAGAAAGAGCAACAATACCTCCATTTGCCATGAGAATCTATAATACACAGCCATAACGGCCATCGATGTAATGCCAAAACTTGACATAACAGCCGCAACTAAGTAAGTAAACCTTTCTGATCTCTTCCTCGCCAATTTCTGTGCCACACGAATCTCTGACGCTGAGATTTGCTTTTCAACCTCTTCTTCACTCTCCTCCGTGCGAGTCTCAATCTGGGTTTTCGATTTTTCGTCTTCAACAACAAAACAAACAGTAAAATTAGGCTTTCTTCGAAACCTAAGAGTCGAATCGAATTGGCGAATTGAAGGAGAGAACAGAAGCGAAGCGGTAGTGAGTGTGGAGGTGGGTTTTTGGCCTAGGAATGGGTTTCGTCCGAAGCGGAAAGATCGGCCGCTAGCGAAGGAAATTCCGACCGCCATGAACGGTAGTGGCCTGAGCCTTCGCAGAGTTGGGTAAGTTGACACAGAGGAGAGCGAGAGCGAGAGAGAGGCGTGGCGTTGGGACTGGAGACGAGTTTGGGAGGTGGAAGTTAAATGCACGTAGGCCGCATGTTCTTTGTAAGCGCTTTCCAATTTAATACGACTTACAATCACCAAATTACCGAAGTGCCATTCCAACAGCAATTTTATGCTAAGTCGTGAAAAAAAAAAAATAGGAAAATTACACTCAAATCCCTGAAATTTATCACTTAATCACTCAGACTTACTGATATTTAAAATATTACATATAGAACTTTTAAATTTTGTACATAAGTAACACTTGAACTCTTGTCATCAATGTTGTTTATATATCAGTTAATAAATTATACTCATATCTCTTAAAATTTATAGGTTATAATATGTAGACTCTTCAAGTTTAAAATATTATATTTAGACAAAAAATAATTCAATCAAAGATATAATATCAAATATTTTAAATTTTATAACTAAAATTCATTTTCTCTTATGACATTTATTGAAATAAAATTAAAAATTAAAAAATATTTAAAAAAAAAATTATAATTAATATACACTTAAAATTCAATATTTAACTTTTAATTTTATCCAACGCCACCTTAAATTATAACTCAAATCGCTCTTTGAGAGCATATGTAATTTCTTGCCGTTTATGCCCCATTTGTGGACTTTCCTTGTGGGTTCGAGTTACTATAGTCAAGTCCGGACAAGAGTTTCACTCTGATTGCGCACCCTTTTTAATAGGCAAAAAAAAAAAAAGGGTATCATTATGAGATGGTGGAGGTGTACACACGCACGCACGCACGCACGTAAGAATCACATAGAGGCAAACAGGTGAGGTGAAAGATTCGGAGGGCGACGACGCTGTTTCGATCTTTGGGTTTTGGACTCTAGCTGTGGCTCCACAATGCTGCTACATTGTGACACGTCTCGCATCTCACTAGCACTCACTCATTGCCTTTTTTAAGGATGTTACTGTCCTGTCCTTGACAAACTGACCATAATTGGCCACATTAGTTTCCTAGTGATGTCAATAGTTTAGGTCCATCCCTTGATAATTATCTATGGAATCTACCTTTTATTAGACATAAAGATGATACGAAACCAGTGAATTTTGATTTATTTATACAATAAACGAGTGAACTCCTTATGTTGATTAAATAAATAAGTTAACACAAAATTTAATTAAATATGATATAAATTCTCTAAACATAACTTATACATCGACACGAACTAAGTTATATGTAAATGAGTCACAAATGATTTGAATAAACTTTTATACAAATATGTTTTAAACAAACACACGACTCATTTGATAGTCATATCGTGCAATGTCCACGTGTCCTGGTGTTACATATCCATAACAATTATTAATACAATTGTCTAAAGTAATACATGTAAGATTATTAAATATATTTAATACAATCTGTATTACATATTAGATGTGGTGATTGTTAGTTCATTGTTATTGAAATAATGTTCACTAAATCTTATTTATTATTTTATAATTATTTGGTGATACGATATATCAATAATGATGTTACATTAGCATTGCATTAAACTCACACAAGCAAGGGAATGTGATTAAAATAATGAGATTTACTAATTTTAGACGATTTTTTTATAATTAATTAAAGATATCACATATCAATAAGGACATGCTCCTTAATTTTTTACTCAACGAAAGTGAGTGAAAGCAAGCTTTTGAATAAAAGTTTCTAGTAGACTTGATCGGGAGAATGAAAAACAAAAAGGATGAGTTTGTTATGGTAGTGTGAAACATGTAAAGTTGTAATCAACTAACAAGACCTTTCAGCTTCTTCTTTTTTATTGGTTTAACAATTAGGGTGCTCAAATTAATTTACGCGCACTTCGACTAATCCTCTTTTTGGTCTAATCAAAGACAAACCATTTGCTCCGAGATTAAAGTATTCATAAGAAGTAATCCCTTATATCCTGATACAAAGAATTGTCAATGTGCGTGCAAGATCCTGCACAATGTAAAAAATAAAAACAGATCTCTCCCTTGGTGAACTTCGAGTGAGCCGGTTGAGTGATCTGACACGCTGCTTGGGATAGCCTGCGAGGTACGGCGGTAACCTGGAGCGGCAACGGGAGACCCTGAGAAAGGAAGAACGATCCTGTAAGGCTGACAGAGGTTCCTGGAACAAAGAAGGACAAGTTAGAAGGGCGCCGGAGTGTTTTCCGGCGTATCCCCTCCGACGATCTAGTCAGTCTTTGAGAAAGGAAGAGGAGGGAGAAAACACTGAGTGTGTCGTGTGTATTGCCGTAGAGAGTTTGTTGTTGCATACCCGTTTTGCCTTTTGCAAGGAGTATTTATACCTTAAAAGCTCATGATTGCTGTCAGTGCGGTCAGTATGTGATCATTATGCACAGGTAGCGTGTACATTCGATTCTGATGAGGAATGTCTTCTCTAATTAACTGCTCGGGGTCCCGAGCAATCAATACTGGGTCGTCGGGATGCCGACGGTAGAATGTGCTCCGCTGGGGGAGGATGCAATAAATGCTCTGTAATAGGAGCATTTATTGTCTTTCATTTCCGAGCCTTACCGCATTGAATGCGGTCTCATTAAGGGAATGGTGCAATTAATTGTTTGCTTTCCCAAGTCGCGTGTCAGCAACGGCATGCGGTTTGTCTGTCTCTGATGTGATATCATATGCCACGCGTCCATCCCCTATTGGCTGTGACCTCTGTATTCCAGTACGTTCTGACATTACTTGTGTAAGACGAGGTCATGATGAATAGCCTAGACTAGCATAGGCTAATGACCTGCACGTCAATAGCTTATCCTGGAGTAGAGGAAGTGTCCAGGAGGGTATCTCTCGGTACCGAGGAAAGGCTCATCTTCGGGGACCGAGGGAGGTTGCCGACCGAGGTACATATCTGACCGAGAACACGTGTCGGTTGTAAAACATACTGAATGCATGATCCTATATGACGGTACCTCGGGAGCGAGGACATTCGTGCGCCGATGGTGCTTGATCTTAGCAACAGTGCTTTAGTAGAACCGAGGACACGTGTCTTCATCATAGGGTATTTCAGAAAAGTCTCATCAACTGCCCCCCAGCCTTCGATCTTCTGACACCGAGGACACGCGTTGTAAGGAGACGAAGGGTTTCCCAACTACCACTCGTCCTCCATCATGACCTCGAGCCGCTTTCCCCGGCTTGGGATGTCGTGTGCATTAAATGCGTCGTTTCGATTTTTGCGCCCAATGATGAAAATTGCCCCTATATAAAGGGGGTTCCTCTCCCGTTTTCCTCGTTTTGCCATTTCGAACTTTCTCCAGAGTACCTCTTCTTGAATCTTCGCCGGAGTTTTGTTTCTTCTGCCATCGTCGACTGCCCATTCTCCCTCAAAATCTTAAAGCCAGCAGACCCATTGTTGATTTCTGAACTTCTGGAGGGAGTCGCTTTAAGGTTTTCCAGAACAAAACTCCATTTTGACGTTCGGCTGAGTTTTAGAATCCTCTTTCTTTTCTTCCTCCTAGCCTTTTGTTTTCCGATTGACTGGAGGTGTCATCCGGTCGATACATAGCGTTTTAACCCTCGGGAAACTTCCTCAGGGATTTTCAAGAACAAATACCCTATTCTTTCTTACTTTTTTAGAAATGCCTCGTCGTCGCCCTGCTCCCGAGAATCCTCAGGCTGGTCCTTCGAGGTCAGGGAAATATAAGGTAAAAGGCGATGAGCAGATCAATAGGTTTAGGGCCAAGTACGGCATTCCTCCGTGCGTAGACGTAGAGGATTTTGACCCGGTGGTGCACTCTTCTACCCTCGGGGCCGAGGATGCCATGCCCTTCTATACCAAGGCCATCATAGAGGGTGGAATTAGGTTTCCTTTACCCCCCTGCTTCTTCAGTTCCTCTCTCATTTCCGCCTCTTCCCCGGGCAATGCTGCCTTAATGTCTTCCGAATAATCATGGGGGTCTTAGAGCTCAATAGGCGCCTCGGGGTAAATATTGGGCTCAACGATCTCCTTTTCTGTTATTCCCTCCTTAGAGTCATGCCTCACCAACACTTCTACCTCAAAGCTAGGGACCCCTCTATGTACCTTGTAACCCATCTTCCTGACTCGGACAAGGGGTACAAGGACGATATCCTAATCTTCAAGGGATCTTGGCAGAGAGGTGTTGGTCCCGAGTACAATGACTTGTCATGCCCTCTGGAATGGAGAACGACAAGTACGTCGGTTCCTTTGGGTTTCTTATTTCTTTCTCCGGACTTCCCATGTTCATGACAACTTTTTTGTTTGTGCAGATATTCCTGCTCGGGAAACAGCTCCTCCCCCTCGGTCGCTGGTGAATTTTGCCGACCTAATAACGGTTTGGAGATTCACGGGTGACAACGGGTTTGGCCGTGCTGCTCATATCCTGCTGAATTATACCCCCAGGTATAAGAAATTTTCGCTGCTTCCGCAGCCTTTTGAGCCTTCGCAATGGTCTGAACTCTTCAATCAGGCGGTGAGGCTAGAGGTTGAGGAAAATTTGGAGGAAGACCCGGATCGGGCTTCGGAGGCAGAGGTAGAGGGAGTTGCTGAAGAGCTCGGGGTCAGAGAGGACGCTGTTCCTTCAGACGCCGAGGTGGGGACTTTGGGAGGAGACTTGTGGCCAGACTTCCAAATTCTTCAATCCTTAGACGCCGAAGACGCTCTCGAGGCAGCGATGTCCAACACCCATCGCATCGATTTGAGGTTCCTTAGGCAGAGGCAAGCCCTCGCAGTCGGGAGGGGTCGAGGAACGACCGGCGGCACCCCTTCTGCGGGGACCAATTCGACCCCTTCCTCAAGGGTTCTCGGTCGGGGTCAGGTGCGAGACCGGGATCCTCAGGTGGAGGAGGAGAGAAGGGTCAAACATCGGCATAATGGCCTTAGCCGAGGATCCAGGGCACCTCCCGCTAAGCAGCAAAGCGGGAGGGGCCGTGGATTACCCCATGCTCCTCCACAACAGCAGCAACAGCAACAGCCCCGACAACAGCAACAACAACAGCAGCAGACTCCTCCTCCCCTTCCGCCTACAGTGGAGGCCGCGGAGTGGAATCCCCGAGCCACTGATCACATGAA